GCTTCCCCGAGATCCTGGACGCCAGCCAGCAGCCGGTGGAGGCCGTCAGCCCGGCGGACCCCGTGAAGTTCAGCCTGCAGAGGGAGGAAGCCGATCGTCTCCGGGGCAACGAGGTGGTGCTGCAGTTCCTTGCCTTCAGCAGGTGCGCTCTCGGACTGTCTGCTACTCTGGCCCTGGCTTGTGCACTTCGTGCATCGAGCAGAAACCTGTGTGGTCCGAGCTGGCAGACCTGTGCTCAGGTCTCAGTAGACGGCGGGGTGCGTCCGATGTTCGGTTTGGCACGGACTCGCACAGCCGTTCCTGTGCTGTCAGCCACCTCGCAAGGGGGAGACTGCCGCCCGCTCTCCGCCGAGGACACTTGACTCATCCGCGGCTCTGTCGGACTCAGGGTGCCCCAGGACGACCCGGGAACGCCATGGCCGCGCACCGTGTATTTCACCTTCCAGTTCTACCGCTTCCCGCCCGCCACGACCCCGCGGCTGCAGCTGCTCCCGCTGGACGGGGCCGGGAAGAGCCGCTCGGGCCCCCTGTCACACGTCCTTGTTCCCACCAGTCACCACGGCTCCTCCGATGCTGGTGAGCCACACTTTGTCTCAAAGTCTTTCTGTTTTTTTTAAATTGTCACCTGAGGATGTTTTTCATTATTTGTAGAGAGTGAGTGAGTGGGAGGGAGGAGGGGGAGAGAGAGAAACATCGATGTGAGAGCCACATCGATTGGCTGCCTTCCAAATCCTTGCAATGGGGCTGGGGAACCGGCAACCCAGGTACGCGCCCTTGACTGGAAATCGAACCCGAGACCCTTCTGTCAGCAGCTCAACACTCTAACCACCGAGCAACCGGCCAGGGCTGAAAGTTTCATTATTAAAAAATGCTGTACAATGAAAAATTCCAAACACATGCAGAATCTGAGAAGCTAGTGTACGTCACCTCCAACAGTATCGGCTGTATCCCCACCAGACCTTCTCCAGCCTGCGCTACCATTTCCTGTATCATTTCACCCGTGGTTTCCTTATGTATATCTGAAAAACTAGAGTCTTTTTGAAAAAACAAACTCAGTAATATTATCCCACCTAAAAATTAATCACTAATATCATCAAACATCTAGCCAATGTAAAAATCTTCCCAATTTCATACCATTTTGAATTCCCAGAGAGAAATTTGTCGAAAAATTAAATTTCTTTGCAAGTTGAAGTCCAGAGAAATTAAACTCCAAAATCAAGTTTTCTTGTCAATGTGAATTAAAACTCGAAGTCCAAAATTCTCAAGTTAGAGTCTAAAAAAAGTTTCTTGCAGTTTCTTATACAGTGGAGTCTCCATCAAAAGTGTTCCTGCCTGGGTGTCCCCCTTCCGGGTGTCCCTGCAGCCGGGCGT